TATAAAATAAATTGAACAATTCAAATGTTTTGTTTGTCAATTGCTGCAAAGCCTGAACCTTTATATTGCAACTCAGTTCTATGACGACCCCTAAATCTAAAGTTCAGAGTTTGTGGTAGCCATAATTATGATTGTACCTATGGATTTTATCACGCAATGTGCAGACAAAAGAGACAATCTGTGATACAAATCGGTAGTTCAAATAACACAGTGCGTTTGATTATCATTTTCTGGGTGCCGGGTTCGAATGTCAATGGGCTACCTTACAAATCTCAAAGAGGTGTAAAGTACTGACCTATTTTTATTTCATGATCTTCGGTTGTGAGACAAGCATTAGTATGAGATCTAACTGAGATCACTAGTTCTAGCTTTTACTCATGTTCTCCTGTGGTTGGAATCAGAAAATCCATGTGCTACATGAAGCATATTCTGAGGGAATAATGTGTATCCTCTAATAGAGAATATACGTGGATCGTCAGGTTATGCTAAACATTCATCGTTATCCGATACGGGTTAAAATAAGAGGAATAAACATCGTTCCGTTTTAAAAAGAAATAAAATTTAAAGAGATTACGATAGGTTGGGAAACATAAATTCAATAAGACAGCAATCAGAAAAACTTCTTATATACTTCTGCTAAAAAGAATAGGCTTAAATGAAAAAATATGTATACCCTCACAAATAGGCTTCAGTTTTACTTCTGCGCAAACCAAAAGCAACTGATTTACGGAACGTCATCAAATTAATGTCTTTATCCAATCGACATCCGTGCTACTTTAGAATATTTTTCTCAGCTCAAAACAATGTGTGAAAGCCAAAAATAGTGGGGATCATTCGAAATTATAAAAAGCTTTCCTGTTCTTAGTTTTAAAATCATTTTCCGATTTTCCCGAGAAATTCAGTGTGCTGTGTTGTTTTGATTAATTTTACCGAAACCATTGATTTCTGAAGATCCTTTGAGATTTATACAATTAGTTTGATATCGGTGATACTGAAACTGAATTGTTTTGATATGTAAATTAATGGGAAATCTGTAAATTTGTTTCTCTGAATTTGATGGGTCATTCTTCAGACTGCGTCTTTATCCACCCACCACACAGACATTTAACTCATCCAGTCAACCATAGAACTCCGAAACACTATTAGCCTCATGTGTTCTGCTTTCGTTGGAGTTCACCGATAAGGCAAATCACCGACACAAACGGAATCTAAACCCCGAGCTCTTCGCATTGACAATGTGAAGATTGTCGTCATGACCATCAGTTCATTACACGGTTAACCTTAGTTACCGAGTTTTCTGGAAGTTTAGTCAAATCAACAACTGTTAACCCCCGTCACTTTTCAAAACGTACTTGATATTCAGAAGAAAAATGAAATTGGGTTCAGCCAGAGTTCATTTGAGAATGTGTAATCAAACTTGCATGACAGACATGGTTAGAGGTGTGCATTTTCAGATTGAAGTCACGTAGGTCACATTCTCTGCAAGCCCATCCTCACATTGAAGGTGTTAAGTCAAGAACTAACTAACCATTTATGAAGTTCGCATTTAGACAAAAATGTGTCGCTTATTGTATTCAGTTTCGTAGTGAACACGTTCACAAGGGTTTGAGAGCTAAAACTGTTATGGACCTTTACTTAGACCTGACGATTAAATACTGCAGTCGGTGTGTCGCTTCCCTACACCTACCTTTGTGCGTTCAAATGTAACCTAAGTCATGTTTTGCAGAAATTGATGATTTTGAAGGCGTATTTACCTCCGGAAACTTTTCTCATCTCCCACATTTTACAGCTTTGGCTTTGATCACAATAGTTACCTTCACAATAATATGATAGCTGAGCAATGCCGAATTTATTCATATGTTTCCCTCGAGTGAAGATTCATTTGTGCATTGTGATACGGCATTCCCCAGAATTGTCACTCATTTTTACTATCGTTTTATCACGGCCTATCGATTGTTTTAATTCATTTAATCTAGGAATGCCATTAAACGGAAATTCCGGATGTTTTTTTTTTAAATTTTGTTAATCTGTTGCAGCTTACGACTACGTTATTTACCCGTTGAAATCCTTGGAACGCGGAGAGTACGGATCCCCCTCGGAGCATCGTCCTCTTATCGATCGACCGATCCACAGTGACAACGCGTTTACCACAGTGCAAACTGTTCGTCCACATATTTACAATACGGCTACCTGGCGCAGAGCTGGCTGTGACCTGAACATATCCCATTTTGTTCGACCCCAACGAATCTATCGAAGCAATGAGGGCCGATCGATTGATCTGTTGCCTCTTCAGCACTCGTTTGTGTCACGTTCGGGCAAACTCATTCCAGCGGGACTGGAAAGGGAACGCGATATGAGTAAACCTTATCGGTTTGCTTTGCACGAGAAAAATGTCGATTGGCCGCGTGTGACTATGCGCATGTTCGGTGAGTAGAACAGAAAGGCGTTGCACACAATTATTATTTCCCCGTATAGAATACGGCTTTATTATTCAAGATCAGTGCAGCGGCAAAACGAGATCTAGTCATTAGCCACATTTTACCTTATTGGTATAGGAGAGAGTGGAGAAACATTTTACCAGCGACATTACGTCTCCGTAGAAAAAGAAATTAAGCGCAGCTTTCTAACTCCGACAGAAAACGAGTTACCCAAAGAAATGGGTCCAACATTTGACTCTAAAACAGGAAAACGCTTCACTTGTTGGATTGGCATCTTGATCAAGATATTATAACGGCTATACTTAGTCATTGTTAACTGGTAAACAACGAAAACAATTGATAACCCCTTTGAGGGGTCGTGACGAAAGAGTGTGCAAAACATACAATGTTACGAGACAATTTTACGGGAAGAAAATAACGTTCTATTCACGAACTAACGGTTTTACTAACCAATCGTTTAACGTAATGACTAATGATTTCTTTTGATTTAAATGTGTCAGAACGGGTAAATCTCGAATTCAGACCAATAAAATTTATTGGATTAATCCATCAAAAGGTGTTTGAGTGTATGAATACTTACTTGTGTCTTCATACCAATCGCTTATGTAAATTAGATTTACGATGTTTGTTCTACGGCTTAACCCCTGCTATTCAGACTTCGAAAACATACACATTGCTAAACAAGCTCCGTGACAGCGGAATAGTCATGCTATCTTCGTTTCCATTGAAAAGACCAGTGAAGCAAAGAATTCTTTTCGGTTACTCATTCTCAAGCTTTTACATCAATATGTGATCACAAGCTGGCCACAAAAGTCATGATTCAAAAAATAAACCGGGCTAGGGCAGCGGGGGTTACCGGGTTATAATCACTTGTCTAAGCGGATTACGTGACACAGTTATTCAATCATTGTATGATTTTTGTACAAATGTCAATTACGTCATTTTTCGGGCCATGGTATACTCAATATGTAAACCATACCTTTTTGTTTGCACAGTTCGGGGTGGTGGATTTATTGTATAAATCATGACTTTTGTTATCACCTTGTGATCATAAATTGTTGTAGAAGCTTGAGAATGAGTAATCGAAAAGAATTCTTCGCTTCACTGCTTAGTTCAATGATTTATGGAGATATTTCAAGAAATACAATTATCTTTGTTTTCAACCACTCAGTGATTGTTACCAAAGAAGTACTTTGATCAAATCTATACGAATTGTTTCTGTATGTATAATAAGCGGTGTTTCAAAAACAGGTTCCAGTGGCAAACTTTTACGATTTCTATGACCTAACGTATTAACTGACAAACTCAGAATCATGATCAGCTAACATTGATTTGAAATAATCATATATTGTTATGATTGAGCATTCATTGCACGCAAACTAGTTTGATGATCCCTAGGGATGTTCGCGTTTTCCACGGTCTTTTGAAAGCTTTGTATCACGCCAAGGGCACTTTCTACTAGTGAGTGCAGACTTCAATGCATGTACAATGATAGTGTTATCACATGACCACAGCTAAGGTCAATAAACCGATCGAAGGACATCACCTTATTGTAAACGTTTAGGCAGATGAAGCTACATTTTCAGTGAAACTGCCGCACTTTGAAAATAAGGAAAGTGAAAAATGATCTCCAATATCAACATGTTAAGACATCATATACAACCTTGATAGCTGAGATTGCAGGTTTTCGGTGTATGTTCTTCGGAACACAGCACAAGTGATCTTATACGGAAAAGCTTGAGAATCGGAGACGACAATAAAGAAATGCTATTAGGTGTTTTGGTAGCACGTGATTATATCGGGCGAAATTCCGGAGGCCGCTTCATTGCTAAAGAAAGTTTCTCACCCCAGCACAAATAATTTCTGGGTAAGCAAATTTCAATTCAGCCGGTATAATATGTATATATGTGAAATCCATCGACATGTCAGAGTGATGTCTTTTATTCTGTCAACAACGAGACAATTGTTCACTGTATCTGAAGCTGTTCTGGTGAGTGGCATGTTCACTCTATATGACGGAAACACAGTCCTGAATAAAACCCGCTTGTTTGTGTTTCGTAGTGAGCACTAATTAG